GTGTAGGGTGTGAGTGTGGGGTGTGTGTGTGGCGTGTGTGGGGTGTGCGGAGTGTGTGTGGGGTGTGAGTGTGGGGTGTGTGTGGCGTGTGTGGGGTGTGTGTGGTGTGTGGGGGGGGTGTGTGTGGCATGTGTGGGGTCTGTGTGGGGTGTGCGGAGTGTGTGTAGGGTGTGAGTGTGGGGTGTGTGTGGCATGTGAGTCGTGTGTGTGGTGTGTGGGGGGTGTGTGTGAGCGAGAGTGCACGCGTGCACTTCTACCCACGTCTTTCTTCCCGGGCAGGTCCCGTGGGTGTCAGGTCCAATGCTCCCTTTCTATCTGGAAATAAAATTCTTCCATAACAAAACCAGCCGCATGTGGATTTGGGAGACGCCTGTGTGCCCTGATCGGAAGGACACACAGCAGAAGGGAGGGTGCGGGCGTGAAGAGCCGCCTGTCCCGCTGGGTCCCTGGCGTCATGGGCGCAGCAGCCGTGGCAGCTCCCTGGATTTCTGTGAGCACGAGGTGGGGGGTGAGGGGTGGGGGTCCTGAGACGTGCTGTGGGGACCCCGTGCCTCCAGGGTGTGGCCGTTGGGCCCGTCCTTCCTGAGAGAGTGAACAATTCTTGCTGCATTTTAGGGGAACTTTCTGAGGGCACCTGAGGGATGCTTTCGTGGGCGGTTCAGAGCATGGTAAAACGTGGGCAAAGCCCGGCCTCTGCAGGAGAAACCAGGGGCCCTGCAGGCCTTGCAGGTGCAGCTTGGTGGAGGGGACCATCCCAGAGGAAGCCTCTGCATCCCTGGCGAGCAAAATTGCCAGGCTAGTGATGAGGGGAGACCTGCTGGTGGCGCCCTGGGGGTGCTGTGCCCCCCACAAGCATCCTCTTAGGGGACCCTCTTCTCAAGGTGTGGGCGGGGCCGCCCTCTGCTGGACACGCGGAGCATTGCGGGTCAGCCCAGGGCATCCCCAGACCCAGCGAGGGAGGGCAGCGTGGACCCTTTCTTCCAGAAGGTGGGCGAGACCCCGGCACAGGCAGTTCCCCAGCAAGCAGCTTCCAGAGAGCTGCACAGACAGCACAGTCTCTAAGTGGGAAAAGTGAGATCAGGGCCAGGCTTGTTCTTTCGAAGGTCAATGCAAATTAAATGCACAAATCTCTCATGAAGGCTGCTTTTAAGGGGTTTCAACTCTTCCATTCGAGACCAAGCATCACTCTGTCACTTCCGAAAAAATGTCGTATTCTAATCTTCCTTCTGTTTTCATATGCAAATACCAGGTGCTCCAATTTAAGCACTGTATCTGACTATACTCATCGTTTTTAAAATATTAGACTGAAGTAGACAAGTTTGCCCCGAATGGTTTGGGACACCTACTCACATAAAGCCAGTTCTTGGTCTTTGGAAAGGTATGGAGGGGGTAGCCTTGTGCTTTGCTGCTCCTCTGGTGCCTGATGTGGGCCCTGCATACTGTGGATGCTGGACTTTGTGCTCTTCCGTTCGTCAGAGGGCAGATTTGGATCTCTGAAAATCCTATAACCCTTCCTATTCCTAATGAAGCTCAATTTCACCAACATTGGCCAGGCCTTGGTAGGAGCCAAGGTCTCAGAGAGGCGCTAGGGACCAGGGACAAGCAGATTCCAGACCCT